TTCACTTTCTGAACTAACTCTGCCCCTTGGACCCCGCTAGGGGTGCTACCCCTAGGACCCTGCAAAGGGGCACATCCCCCTTACCCCCGCCTTTCTGTCGTACCGGCTTGTAGTTCGATCTTATATATGCATGCACTCTGCATACTCCAGACATATAATATAGAGTACAAATGATAATCCCCTTAGCTCACATATTAATTCCAATTATATAAAATGCCCGGTGACACTAAAATCACCAACAATCCTCCCCCATTTTAGTGTAACCCATGAACTAACATAAAATTAACTAAACAAATCAAACCAATACATAAATGAAAATATCGAAACGATTAAATTCCCATCTTAGTATCAATCAATTCAAATACTCGAGTATCAGGGTGTTGTAAGAATTGAACCCTTCAACCCAACTGAATACCTAAAAGTAAAATACATACTAGTTTATTGAACATTCTAGCAAAATACAACTTGACACTATTATAAAGTCGTGTGTCCTAATCCTCTCATGATTGTATCCATGCCAAGTCATCAACCTCTTGAAATGCGGGTATACTTCATAATCACGTAGGTAATTCCTTTACTTCATGTATCTGCATATACATTTTTTAAAGGAATTATTAAAAAGTTAAACTTTAACCTGGCTAACTTGCAGAACTGAACACATACATGGGATGTATACTTCATGTGTTCCAATTTAGAAGTATGAGCTTTCCACATTGAACTTAACTTCTAATGTCATATTAGAAGGAAATTGGGTGTTTCACCATTACATAATTAAATGGAATTTAATCCCATCCCTATAACATACTTGTGCACTAAGTCACTTGTCAGACATTTATTCAGGTGATCTGCCAAATTTTGTTGCGATTTCACAAATTCTACCGAAATCACACCATTCATGATTAGTTCTCTAATCATACTATATGTAACACCTAAGTGTCTAGAATTGCCATTATAAACCTGGTTATAAACTTTATCCAAAGCGGCTACATTATCACAAAGGATAGATATAGGTGATATCAACTTTGATCACAAAAGAAAATTCCTTAGCCATTCTACTTCTTTACCAGCAGCAGCGAATGCAATAAACTCATATTCCATTGTCGAGTTTGTAATGCACGATTGCTTCTTGGAAGCCCATGAAATGGCACCTCCTCCAAGCAAAAACACCCAACCAGTTTTTGAGGAATGGTCCTCCATGTTGGTTATCCAACTTGTATCCGAATGACCTTCTAAGACCGAAGGACTTCCCAAGTAACTGAAACCATAATCCATGGTTCCCTTGAGATACTTAAACACTCTATTGACTGCTTGCCAATGTTGAGCACTAGGATTACTAGTGTATCTGCTCAACTTTCCCACTGCATAAGTAATATCCGGCCTGGTACTTATCATTGCATACATCAAGCTACCAATAGTCTTAGAATATTCCAAATGTGAAATAGGAATGTCATTTTTAGGCATTAGTTTCACACCTGAATGCATAGGAGTGCTCATAGGAGAACAATCACTAAAATTGAACCTTTTGAAAATTTTCTCAACATAATGAATTTGATTCATTACAAAACCTTTGTTCACCCTCTTAATTCTTATACCAAGAATCACATCAGCCTCTTCAAAATCTTTCATGGAAAATTTAGATGACAACAATTGTTTTGTTTCATCTACTTGTTCTTGGTTAGTACCAAAAATCAACATATCATCTACATATAAGCAAATGATCACTCATGCACCAGTAGCATCATTGAATCTACTGTAGACACATTTGTCACATTATTTTAACTTAAAACCATAAGACAAAATAACTTCATCACACTTTTGATGCTATTGTTTGGATGCTTATTTCAACCCATACAAAGATTTTACCAGTTTACATAACATATGCTCTTTACTTGGCATAACGAAACCTTTTGGTTGTTTTATGTAAAATTCTTCATCAAGTTCACCATTTAAAAAGGATTTTTTGACATCCATTTGATGGATAATCAGATCGTGACTACTTTCCAAAGCAATTAACAATCTAATAGTAGAAATACGTGCAACCGGAGCATACGTATCAAAATAGTCAACACTGGTTTTTTGTTTAAAACCTTGAATGACCAACCAGGCTTTGTACTTGTCAATAGTCTCATTAGTGTTCATTTTCTTTTTAAAAATCAATTTGCAACCAAGTGGTTTAGAACCTGAAGGCAAATCAGACAAGACCCAAGTGTTGTTCTCAAGAATTGATGACATTTCGTCATCAATTGTTTCCTTCCAAAAGACGACATCTCGAGACTCCATGGTCTCTTGATATGTCTTAGGATCATCCTCAATACTATAGCAATATTTCATCCCTTGAACCTTCCACCAAATATAGTTGGAAATCGGATCCAAAACATTTCGCAATTCGGCCTCTTTTGCTTCTACGAAGCTCTTGTGGTTCTTGTCCATTACCACCATCTTGACTTTCAGAATTTTGCACTTCTTTAGTGCCAAAACTCAAATCCTTAGGCCTTTGAATTAATGAAAAACACATCTCATTAAAGATTGCATCCTATGAATCGATAACGGTGTTAATCGATACCGCCAGGGGCTCTGCTCCTTGGACCCCGCTAGGAGCGCTGCCCCTAGGACCCTGTAAGGGGGCGCATCCTCCTTGACCCCCGTCTTTCTGCCGTACCGGCTTATAATTCGATCTTATATATGTATGCATTCCGCATACTCCAAACATATAATATAGAGTACAAATAATAAGCTCATTAGCTCACATATTAATTTCAATTACATAAAATGTCTGGTGACACTAAAATCACCAACAAAGTATTCCGACTCCATTCTTCACTGAAAAATCCTAAGCAATCTTCATCGGGAGATGACGAGAAGGTCTGGTTTGGTTCAAAGAGTTGCTCCGAACTGATTGTATTGTCTTTCATGCAAAAGTTACAAAGAATAACTGTCTCCTCCGTGTCATCAATTTAATCTTGCATAGTGTTGTGGATTTGGGTGTTGGTCGATCTTCTGTAAGTTGTTTGGTATGTATATATTTATATATAGTGGTACTTATTAACCAATAAAAAAGATCGTTAAATTGTTTTACTAATAAGAAAGAATGATCAAACTAATAATGTATGAGTCGTTGATCGTTTGTTAGGTTGACAAATGTGACCCATTTTCCGTACTAGAAAGCCATGGCCGCCACAGGAAGGCCAAAATGGACCGGATGTGACCAAGAACCTACCCTTTTGTAGTTTCATAGTTTTGTTCTAATGGATGTGACTGGGGGTAATAGTGCTCACATAATTAAGATACTTAAAGGTTAGCCCAAAATGATATTCGTTTGACAGTGAAATATAGTTGTGTTGGAAGTTATGAAAAATAAGGATGATTTGATGATAGAAAACGAAAAGTTGCTAGTGAAAACATTTAAACAACCAAACTATATAAAAAGACCAAACCTACAATTTTTAAGTTTTTAAAGGTATCCAAAATATTAACAAATCAAATAAACTATTTTGTAATTTTCTAAAACTTAAACTCTCAATCGAACAATAATGGGTCCATATTGAACTAGTTTTATCCTTGATGCTTTCCGATGCTTACATATTCTCAGTTATATTATTTAAAAAATAAATTGTTAAAAAACACATTATAATAGAATTTCAGCAAAAAAAAAACAATTAATTAACGACTTTTAAATCAAATTCGTTTTATATTCATCATTCCAGAAAAAGTATGTTGGTCGGTCGGCTCAACCACCTTTCAACTTATTTTCAAAATTTCAACCCGAACTGAAATTTCTCAACAAACAAACTGTCACATTCGATATTTTCAATGACTATGTGAGATTAGTACATTAACATAATTGATATATTCCGATTTATTTTCCTTGAAATGAGTTAATAGTTGTAGAAAATATAATATTAAATTTCTCTATAACAAAACATAGCCAAATTGCAACAAAGGGGTTGAGGTACATTGGTTCGAGGGTTTAACTCGTACGGAAATCAATCAAAAAACACCAAATTATATAGTATAAATTTTGTCAAGAATGAACCATTTCAGTTTCTAATATATTGTTTAAGAAGATTAGTCGGCTATATGTATGAGACTTCAATACTTAATTAGATTATGTTTGACATATTGACGAATAATAGCGATATTTGTAAAAATTAACCGATAAGCTAGCTAAAAAATATAAAAAGACATATATAATAATAATTCAAGATAATAAGACAAATATATACTAAATTTCATTAAATTAAAGTAAATACGAACAAAATATCAGTTCCTCAAGCACTCATTTTTACAAATCATACCATATCTATAGTCATGGTGCAACTTTCAAATGTTATCATGAATAATTCTTCTATAGCTAGGTATCATTGCATTTTTGAACAATTTTGAAAATCACATATGTCGAGTCCTTCCTTCAAATTTAATTATGAAGCTGGAGTAAATACCGCCATTAATATCACTTCTATTGAGTCTTCTCACTAAAATTTGGTATTGTGTTGGATATTTTCCACCTCAATAGATGATTATACATGATGAATCACACATAACATATTTAATGCATAACAAATGCATCATGTAAACGTAGATCAATACAATTATTTATTTATTATTTTCTAATTGTCAAAATAGATAAAAAAAAAATGGGAATTCTTCGTTTTCTTAGACAGTTACAATTTCAATAGCAGAAAATATGATAATGGATAAACCATGAATACATTAGAGTGATTTTTAATTTGAAGTATTGTTAATTAAAGAAAATCGATTAAAATTGAATGCACAGATAGCATGGAATGAAATACGAATTTAGTATATAACTTAAATAAACAATGCAATTGTTGATCAAGTTAATAAAGATATATAACAATTTGAAATTGCAAATTCATTAAAATTAATTTTAACTTCGTAATTATGAATAAAAAACAAAATCATAATCTAAAAGTAACTTAAAGTGAGTGATGATTCTGTTTAGACCATGGAAATTGTTAATTTTTCTAGGATAAATTTTACTAGTCAAATTTTTTAAGCGTGGGAAAGGAGGCCCGCCAGTCGTTTACAACCGTGTCTCCGTCGTATCCGCCACCACATCTGAAAACATCAATCAATCTCCACCACCGCTTCTTCCGGCGATCACTTCCATCCTCTCCTCCATCAGCTATGGTTGTGGAAGTCTGTTGCCTACTTTTGATATCACTTAACTCCATCTTTTTTGGAAACTTACTTGACCCAAACCCGAATGCAAACACCTGCCATTTGGTCTTCCCCGGAGAATCTAATCTATTTCTCTCCGGAACCGGGGAAGAGCCTTGTTTTTCTTTAGACTGTCCTTCTGTTTCAGCCATGTTTCCGTCAATCTGCACCAGGCCAAAAGCGACTGTCTTCTTGTATTCATCCATGGATTTTTGCATGGTTTAGGATTTTTAGTGATTTTAATTTCTTGGATAAGTTGCAATAAATTTATGAAGACAGAATATATGCAGCGAGGTTAAAGAAAACTATGAAAATGTGTTACTAGCTGGTGTGGATATTAGGCTAATAGTCGTAGTCTCGTAGGCTACGTATTCTCTGGTTCTAGACGTGTCAAGTATTTAAAGATGATAATATGACACTTTTGTTTGGTGTTAACGCATATATTAGCAATACACCGCGTGGAAAAAATTGTGAAGATATTCCTACTAGAAAGCTAATATAGTCAAAACTAAGTTTTGTCCTACATTTTATTTTTACTCCCCCATTTTTGTTTTCCTAACATTTAAATAAAAATACATATCAAATATGTTTTCTTAACATACATATAAAATCCAGATCAAATATGTTTTCTTAATGAAATTTATTCGTGGGCCAAAAAAGTAAAGAAGAAGACTTTAATTTTCAAGTTGGACTTCGATAAAGCTTTTGACTCGTTAAGTTGAGAGTTCTTAGATTCGATAATGGAATAAATGGCGTTTGGATGGAAATGGAGGAGATGGATCAAGAGATGTCTTGATTCTAGTAGAGCCTCTGTTTTGGTTAATGGTACTCCCACAAAGGAATTCAATATTAAAAGGGGTGTTAGACAAGGTGATCCTCTTGCACCTTTTCTCTTCATAATTGTCATGGAAGGTCTTCATATTTCCATGGAAGCTGCGTGCGACTTGCATTATTTTCGGGGGCTTGCTCTTCCTTATGATGGTATCAATATTTCACACCTTATGTATGCCGATGATGTGACTTTTATTGTAGAGTGGTCGGAGATCAACTTCATCAATCTTAATAGATTGCTTCGTTGTTTTTTTCTTGCTTCCGGATTAAAAGTGAATTTGCACAAAAGCAAGGTGTATGGTGTTGGTGTGAATAATCAAGAAGTTAAGAGACTTGCTAGTATCTTGAAGTGTGAGCCCGCTTCCTTTCCGTTTACTTATCTTGGGCTTCCGGTAGGGGCTAATATGAAACTCTCTAAGCATTGGAGTCCCATCATTGACAAATTTCAGAATAAACTTTCGAAGTGGAAAGCAAAATGTCTCTCCTTTGGTGGTCGGGTCACCTTATTAAATTCGGTCCTTAACAACCTCCCTTTGTATTTTTTTCTCTCTTTTTAGGGCACCCAAAAAAGTTATTAATGTGTTGGATGGCATTAGGAGACGGTTTCTATGGGGAGGTGATGAAGTCAAGAGGAAGATCAATTGGGTGGCATGGGAGGTGGTTATTAAACCGAAGGAGATGGGAGGTCTGGGAGTTGGGTGTTTTGATTCGGCTAACTTGGCACTTCTCGCCAAGTGGTGGTGGAGATTGAAAAATGGGTATGATTCTTTTTGGTTTTCTCGTATAAAAGCTATTCACAATATTAAGCTTATTGATGGTAGATCGATTGCCAAGAAGTCTATTAAAGGTGGTTGGTTGAGTATTTCTCAAATCAATTGTGATTTTGAAAATAGAGGTATTCGGTTTGATAATTTTTTTAAAAGAGTTGTTGAAAAAGGTGACAAAACACTCTTTTGGAAGGATCGTTGGTGTGGTGATATAGCTTTAAAAGATGTTCATCCTAACCTTTATGCAATTGAGAAAAATAAAGATTGTCTTGTGGTTGAGAGAGTCAATATTATGAATGGGCAGATTTCTTCTTTTTCATGGGACTGGGCGAGGGAGCTTAGAGGTGGGAGGGAAACAAGCCAGTTTCAGGCAATATCGGAATCAGGTTGCTGTTTTCAGGTTTGATGACGGATGTGACAGGTGGATTTGGGGAGGCGACGGTGGAGATGTGTTTTCGGTGAAAGCTTTAAGAGATGTGATGGCTATTCAGTCCAACAATGGGACTTTCGACTCTTTCAATTGGGTAAAATGGGTCCCTCTAAAAATCAACTGTTTTGTTTGGAGATTGATTAAAAACAGAATTCCTACTTTCTTGAGCTTAGTTAGGCGTGGAATTAATGTCTCGTCTACCTTATGTCCTTTTTGTAAAGAAACTGATGAGAGCATTGATCATGTTTTTTTCTCTTGTTCTTCTTTCGCTATGGTTTTGTGGAGATGGCTGGTGAACTGGTATTCCCTTCTTACGAGGCTTCCTAATTCATGTGATGACTTATTGGATATGCTTAATTCTACTGTGGGGAGCAAAAAAATCAAGAAGTTGTGTTTTTCTCTAGCATACACCGCTCTCTGGATGTTATGGAAGGTCGGGAATGCGATAGTTTTCAGAAACGAAAGGCGGGCGATCATGATTACAGCTGATGATATTAGTTTAAACACTTTCAATTGGATCAAACATAGGTCTAATTGTAATTCTATTGATTGGCATGCTTGGAACTCCTCGCCTATTTTGGACTGTTTCTTGTAATTTGGCTCGAGCTCCTCGCTTGTGCAGTTGTTGTTTGTTTGCTTTTTAGCTTTAATAATATGCTCGCAAAAAAAAATCCAAATAAAATATGAAGTATAAAGTTGGTGAGAAGTATAAGAAGCGGTCATTGGATAAAAGAACCTATGATCAAGATTGGCAGTTTAGTACGTGGTTACAAAACAGTTGGTCTCCCAACCGTTGGATGAATCTAATCTAAAGGTTGTGACTGGTTTTTACATATTTTACTGGCTTTATTATGTTTATTAATTGACTATTATACCCTTATACCACATTAAAACTAAAATTCAGTATAACTAAAAAATAAAAACTAAAAATTATTTTCAATTAAAAATCTAAAGAGCAAAATTAATTCAAAAGAAGAAATTAAATTCCCTAATGAGATTAACCACCAAAAAAGGAATGATATAAGCAAACCAAGTCAAGGTAAGCAAAAAGAGATAGAACCAGGCATGTGTTTGAATTTAGATGTTTTCATGTGTAGATTCTCCAACAAAAGATGTCAACTGTATTGGATTAATTAATTGTATCAAAATATATGCTAAATATAATGACCGAAAGAAGGTGATCACAAAGGGTTTTAAATTGTAAGGGATATGCTATCGAGGTTCAACACAGAAAGAAAAACAAAGCTTGCTTCAATTAATAATGAAAATGTTTCTACAAATTGGATGCATAAAATAACGAACTGCACAAGTATTTATAAGAAACAAATGACTTACTCCTAAATTCATGGCTAGGTAAAAAGACTTTGACTAAAAATCCGGTGATGATTATTAATGTGTATGGCGATGATGAAGCTGGTAGTGAAGGTTGAAGAAGGTAAGGGCAATATGGTCCAATTAGTTTTTTTTTTCTCAATTTTAATGATCTTAAAATAAAAAATAATGATTATAAAATATTAAAAAATAGATTTATGCAAATATGATATTTTAAAGAGTAAATTACACGAATCGTCCCTCGTACAAGTGCTAAAATATACGTTCAGTCCTTATTTTAAAATTTTAATTCGGACCATCCTTTGTTTGGTCAAAAGTTGCACATGCCATCCTTGTTGATTTAAATTTGCACGTTTGATCCCTTGTGAAATATGAAATGACTATTCTACCCTTTCTATTTATTTATTTTGTTTTTTCTTACAATTTTATAATATACAAAATAAAATAAAAAACCGCAACCCCCTCCCCCTCCTTCTCAACCCTTCCCCCCCTAAATTTACTGACTGAAAAATCATCACGAGGGACCATCACCACCACCGTCCACAACCATCGTTCAAAATCTATACCAGAACAACCATTCTCCATCTATAAACCATAAATAACTATAGACCTTCATCCTCACCCAAAATTCATTACCAGTACAACCACCCTTATATCCACCCACCAACAGCCAATGTCAACACCTACACATATTCTGCCATCATCATTTCCTTCTCTTTCTGTAATCACATCCAACCACAAACTTAACCATCACAGCCCTACCAAGCCAGCACCTTTATGCAAATCGTGTAAACACACAAACAAAAACAAAAGGAAAAGGGAAATCCCATGTTCATCAATTTCTTACCCCTAACCTCCAATCGTTGTCTGCTTCATTGAGATAAACAACACACACATTAGCGAAGGATGCTATATTCTTGATATGTACATGGGTGATTTCTCTATTAAGGAAAGAAAAGAAGGAAAGACTGTGATTTTAATTTTTCTTGTTGGTGATTGACGATTGAATCAAGATCAGGAAGAAGAAGAAGACGCGTCTGGTGATTGATTGGAGGGAGAAGAAGAAGAAGACGATGTTTGTGTCGAGACTTGCTTTGGGGATAAACACGCAAAAATAGAACCGCAAGTTGCAGGTATGCTGGTGGTTGTTCCGACTTGCAGAGAAAACCCTAGGCGGTGTCAAATGAGGAAGAACGAGGTGGTGGTAACCCCAGAAGCTCCACACACACTCTAAATACCACACGCAGACGATCGATGGAGACTAAGGTGTTGTTTGTTTTTTTTTTTAAAAAAAACTCTTCAAACCACTTTCTGCTGCGCGGCGCAGCACACGCACAACACTTTCCATCTCGCAGCAGTTTGTTTTTTGGAAGACTTCAGACTGCAAAACCTCTGCGCGTGTGCTGCGTGGCGCAACACTTGACTTGCCTCTTCAAACCTCTTCAGCTTTTATTTTTTTGAAGTGTTTTTTTTTAGAATTTTGGTATAACTTATTTTTTTAAACTTTTTTTAAAAAAAACTTTTATTTACGGATTTGATACAATTTTTTATTATAGTTTCCACAAATTTTTTTAACTTGATTTTTAAAAAAAAAAACTTTGATTTTTTTTTAATTTTTTACCTTTTCTGTTAATAATATTTTCAGTTTCGGTTTCATCTTTTTTAACGTGTATAATTTTTTATGAACTTTATAGACATCGTTTGCAATACTTTCTTAATTTTTTTATTATTTTCTTTTTTATGTTTTTTAAAATTAGTTTTTTTCTAGAATAAAGTTGTTAGCTTCTTTTATATTTTTGTAAGTTTTTTTTAAAAAGTTTTATATTTTTGTTTTTTTATATGTTCT